CAGGCACCCGGGGAGCCCCTCCGGCCGCCCGGTCCCGGCCCCGCTCCGCCGGCCCTGCCCCGGCTCCTGCCCCGGCTCCCCGCAGCAGCTTCTTCACAGCTGTCGGGTCCTTTCTAGAAAAGTAAGCCCTTCCCATGCAAGTTCATGGAAATAGGTCCTCGGCCGTCTTCTGTGCCAGGCAAAGCCGAAGCAAAGGGAGATTTGGGATTGCTTTTTCCGCAGGTGCCCCGATCCTGCATCAGGTGGAAATGGAACCTGTGGGTCACTTGTAAAAAGCGTCCTCCCTTTAAGACCTTTATACCTCCAAAAAAGAGGTATATTGGACAGCGTTGTGTGTCCTGAAGCTGCAGAACAGACCCAGAGTCGAGATCTGAACTTCCAGGTGCAGTGGGCTCATAGGAGTGAGGATGCCTAGCTCATTCAAGGCTGATGAAAGAGTCGAATTCGAACTCCACTGCAGAAGGGCAGGAGATGGTGGAGGCAGAGTTTTGGTTCAAGTACATCATTGGTCAGTGCAGAAGCTTTCTCTGAGGGGCAGCCTCCGACTTGTGAAACTTGCAGACAGGTCTGTTCAACTGCAAGCAGCTGGTTGTGTTTTGGTGCTCTTGCTAGCCTAATTATTTTCATTTAAACAAAGAGCTTTGCTTCTTCCTGACTCATCTGCTCTTTTTAACTGTAAAGAAATCAAACTAAAGCAGGCTTTGACAGTAGCATTGATTCACTGAACAAACTACAGCACAGATAAAAGCCATCCCTTTATATGCTTCTGGTCGTGCAAAGCTGAGATCAGAAGGTAGCCACCCTAGTCGCATGCCCCTCTAGTCCCCCAGATATCCCAGCCCCCAGCTGTCAGTTCTTGCAGCACTGGAGTTTGGGGTGTGGATTCTGCCCATCGTCTCCGTGGAGGAGGGAAGAGAGGCCCGAGTACAACACTGAACCTGGGCTGTGAGCAGTTGTGCACAGGAACAGCTCCACTCTGATCTCAACTGATCTAACTGGGGCTCTCCCACAAAACCACAGCCATGCTGGAACTGCTCACCACATGTAAGGACCCAGTGGCCACTGTAAGTCCTTTGGCACTGTTCCAGCACAGACAGAGGGAAGAGGTCCTGTCATAAACAAGATTCTGGGTGCTAGAAGTATAGTTTGGTACTCCTGACAGTGCTGTCAAAGTGTTTTGTTGTGTAATATGGCAGACAGCAAAGTTTAAATCTGGCTAATTCTTGGGCTTGAACTGGTGTAAGCAGAAGTGAGCTATTTTCAAAGTGGGATTTTTTAAAACAGAGCTTAGGCAGCAGTCACCTTCCCAGTCTCCGCAAAGGCTACTGACAGATGCTGGTGGAACAAACCAGAGAAGCACACAGCTAAAATGTAGGGATGGGAGCAACTCAGCAAGCTTATTGCAAAAAGGAGAGAAGTTTGATGGTTAAGCACACTGCAAATAAATGACCGAGTCTCTGACTCTCTCTCCTCCCCCTTTCTATAAATAATTTCCCTTTTCAAGCAGAAATAAGACTGAAACTCTTGTGGTGAGCTCCACCTGAGCAGCTACATCGTACTATGCTGGGAAGGCAGAAGAAGATAAACAGTGATTCCTCACTTCAAACAGCAATCTGAAGTCTAGAAATTCAGTGCTATGTTGGCACACAAGCCTGCTCTTAAGTTGTGAAATCTCCTCCTCTTGGCAAGGAGCCCATTACAAGGGTAAACCTCATGTTGGGGCTGACCAGTGCCTGGTAAAGACAGGAGGAACATGTCCACTAGTGTCTGAGAGCCTTGAATGAGGGTTTTCCTTTCCACATAGAAGGTGGTAAATGAACTCTTTCCTTCAAAATCCACTGTTCCTTGTCCAGTGGCAGTAGGAGGATAAAGTCAAATGGATACTGTTTTTCTGCTTTATATAAAGCATCACCCAAACCTGTTCAACGTGAGCTGATACCATGATAAAAGCAGAATGAGATTTCCAAAACTCTCACCATTGCTGTACTTGTGCAGCTGCACCAATGGGAGCCACAGAAGGAAGATGAGGAGATAGGTTCCCATTGATCAGAAATATGAAGGATGCAAAATTTGATATGTCCCTATAAAAAGGCATGTCCCCAGAGGAAAAGTAGAAGCCTTAGGTATAATATAACCAATAATGTTTGTATGAATGTGAACAGCTAGAAAGGGATCAGAGTCTCTATGTACAATGCTGCTTTATCTTCTAACAGAGGCTTCCATCATCACCATATCTGACTTCCTCTGTATTTTCTCCTGGGTACTTCTTGGCACTATGTTCTGCCTAGTTTGGAATTAAGCACTGAGTTTTTTGCCTTTTATTTTGAGACTCTATTTCACTATTACTCCTAGCCAGATTTTTCAAAAAAGATGTTCACATGTCAGGAAAATGACATAATTGTTTTTCTTCACAGTTTTCACGACATGTTCATAATTTCAGTAGAAAAAAAAAAAATCTCTGTTTTTCACGTACCCAAACCATAATTTTATAAATTATTTATTAAACCTTTATTGCCTAAGTACATTTGAGGACCCCAAAAAGTGTTGAAAATCTCAAAGTTAATCCTTATTTACTAAGCAACACAACCTTCAAAATTTAATCTTATTTTGCTGGCAGAGACAGCCGTTTACTGGTTTCCCTTCTGCCAGTAAAACACCAAGGCCAGTAAGTCCACAGAGTAATAACTGAAGTTTCATGCCTAGAAAGCTTTTGGTGGGATTCAGCCTTCATTTTAAATTTCAAAGTCCTGTGCTACTTATGCTTTCTACAATCCAAAATAACCTTTCTTTGGCATTTACGTGAATTGCAGACACAAACATAACACACAAATAACTTTATCAATAACCTCATCCACACTTAGCTGTAGTTTCTTCAAGATTTTTTTTTTAAAAAAGCCAAACTCTTCTATATATGAAATATTTTCTCCATAACAAAAAAGTGATGTCTACTTGGAATAAACATGCAATTCATTAGAGATTTTGACTGACGTGGCACAAAATAATTTTTCATACTATTAATTTTCAGAATTCTTCTCAAACAGTTGCATTACTACTTTAATTTAAGTGGATTTGCTGTAAGTAAGGTGATATAATTCACCGCTTCATTTCACTGCTTCACTGGGACTATAAAACCAGTGTCTCTGTCTCCAGAACTCCTTCAGAAATAGAATGGGAATACTTTACTTGCTTATTTTGAAGATAAATATATGTTTGTGTTGCAGGAGCTGATGTCAGACAATAGTCTCTGCCAAAACGCTCATCCCCTTTGTTAAAATGTTCCTTGCTGATGTGCTAGAAAAGTGTCCAGAAATGAAAAAATCATTCTCCCAGAGTTGCAATTCTCATTAGTATTTGAGTGCAGTACGGTATTCACATAACAGGAAGTTCACAGTTTAGAGGACATTTCATGCTTTGCAGATTCATTGCAGGGAGTGCTTGCTCACTGCTGGAATATGGTTCTCTCTCTAGTGGATGCCCTCAGACTGGTGGATTACACATCACAAGTCATTTAGGGAACACATTGCCACAATACACCATTGGTCAAAAATAGATCACTCTCTGATATGACTAATCAGGACGTTCTTAATGTGCAGTAGGAAGGGAATAAAATGAGTCTTGAGTCCCATGCCTCAGAAAACCAGTCCAGTATAAATCAGTTAGGTCAGGAAAGGGAAATCTTCCTCTAATGAACAGCTATGGACACTTTTTTCAGCCTTCACCTATACTGGCTATTATTAGAAGTAAAGCTAAGAGACAAAGACCTGGTCTATGTGATGGTATAGGATGAAGAACATTAAAGACAAGAATCAGAAATTATTGGAACAATGGAATGATCATTTGTCCCAATACAATCTCATGTCATATTTTGTCAAGCAAATAATGTCAGATAAACTTGAATTTGTAGTCAGAAAAACTAGTCTGCTGGATTTAACCCAGGTTTGAGATGACCATTTGATTATGACAAGGAGAATATTACTTAAAATAGAGAACATGGGGAACTGTAGGATATAGAGAATTCAGTGGTCTTCCAGGGATAATCCAGGGAACAGTATGATGTAAGGTCTGCACAAATAATGTCTAAAAGAAGTAGACAGGAGCATGCACATTGAAATTGTAGCTTTATTAAATTAGCATAAGACAAGGACAGCACATAGGAAAAACTGAGGATGGGTAATAACAGAAGTGGAGCAGAAGTTAGTACAGCAAAGTCGCATTCTTGGGGATTAGTAAGAATTTCTTGATACACTGTTAACTGAACCACAAATGACAAAGAAGGGAAAACACACAAGTATGCTATTTATTTATAATCTGAAATATAATCACATATAAAATTATTACAAAAAAGGACAAGATAATTCTGGGATATACCAGGCAAGTTATAACCTAGTCAAATCTGAGAAGTACTGTGAGTATTCCACAGGACATTGGAGAACTTCTTTCCAGATACTGTCTGTGTCTGCAGTCAATTACAGGAAAAAAAAAATTAATTACAATCAAACCCAAAATTTAAACTGTGACCAATACAGAGAAGGGCTGTTAGGGTGAATAGGGAAGACACTACTTTACTAGAGGATGCTAACAGAGTTTGTCTTCTTTAGTGCAACAAAACGAAGGCTGAGGCCAGACAATTGCTTTGTATATGGGGTCAGGAAGCAAGATCTAGAGAAGAAAATGCTATTTTAAGCTTAAAGCTGGGACAGGAACAAATGAGCATAAACTGGCTATTGAAACCATTTAGGCTGGAAGTCCTAAGAAGGATTCAATCCATCAGAAGATCTGGTCACAGAACAGCTTTTCAAAACTGTTCACACTGATTAAAGATTACATAAAGTTGGTCCTGTGATGACTGCAATGTCTGCAATGTCTGTCAGCTCTAAGTTACTGATTAGTGACAGAAACAATTCTGTGAGCAGACTCACCTGAAGGAGGGCCTCGTGCCATAAGAGAGGCAGATGATGTCAGGTTCTACAAGGTCATTAAATTGCTGTGCACAAAACAGATACCATCAGTTTACCTGGGGATTCTCACTATCTTTTCTTTCCTTTACAGATGCTTGTGAGGCTTTAAATGTGACAGTCTCTCCTGGACCAAGAGTGCAATTCTCTGAGGGAGATAATGCTACTCTTTACTGTCACATTTCTCAAAAGAGAAAGACAGACAATTTGCTGGCTGTGCGGTGGGTCTTCGCTGCATCACCTACCCAGGAGCATCTGATGATCAAAATGACAAAGTTTGGATCTGTCCAGTATTATGGAAATTACAGTCAGCGTTTTCACAAGCAAAGACTTCATCTTCTTAAAGAGAATCATGGAACTCTGTACAAATTTCTTATTTTAAGCCTCCAGCAAACAGATCAAGGACATTATATATGCAAAGTACAGGAAATTGGCAAACACAGAAATAAGTGGACAGCATGGTCAAATGGTACAGCAGCCACTGAAATAAGAGGTGAGAGATTACTGATCTCAAGTCTATAATTTCTTGTTCTGTGATGCCTTTCTTATTTCTTATAAATTCATCCATAAGACATTTGAACTTAGATTATGTTTTGCCTCTCTCTTGGTGTTTGCTTTGCTCTCAGTTCTTGTCTAGCAGCATTTGGTAAGTAGCACTTCCACTATTACTTCAGTATTTTTGTTTAGACCACTTGCAGCCAGAAAGCAGAGCTAGAAAAGCAATGACCAGCCTGCTGGTACTGAACTTTGAATAAAGTTACCAGCAACAAGTGGCAGAGAGAAACCAAGTTGAAAACAAGCCATCACTTTGGGATGGATTAGCTCAAATTTTATGCCACCACACCCACACTTTCAGAGATGAGTGAAGATGGATTTTGAGAACAGACTCCTTTGAAGAGGTGGTTTTGCTTAGCAGCTGTGCCATCAGTGCTAGCTGGCAAACTACCCCCCTGCTTGTGTCTTTATAGACAGAAAAGTTTATTTCTCACAGGGACAACTCTGAAGATAATGCCAGAAGGTAGTGTAGAGTCTTTTCTCTTTCAATGATGTAAGTTCCTAAATGCCTGTAGTGAAACATAAGGATTTGTCCAGAGTTCTTGGAGAAGGAATGGAATGTTCCAAGTAAGTGGCAGCAAAAAGAAAAAGCAGTATAAAATACTGTCATGCCACCTGTCACAGACCTCCTCAGAAAGAGACACTACACATCTTTCTTAGCTTCTCACACTCTTGCTAATTTTAACACTGAAACTTCTCATTGTTACAGCTAATCTATGGAGTTCAGATCAATAAAGTTGAATTGAAAAGGAGGAAAACTGTAATTTTTCAGTCCAATCCTTAAATAATATTTTTCCCCAGATTTCTAGTATGAGTCATGAATATATAATCAGAATAGAGATTTGAGACCTCATGACTTCTTCATTTTCACACTGTCTGCTCAGCTGTATTGTTGCTCTCCACTTCAAATGACCCAAAGCAGAGCAGGAAACCTGAGGCAAGGGAGGAAGGCTGGCCAGCCTGTAGAGAGTTGTAGACACCCTGTGGGGATCTGAGGCAAACACCACAACCACATTGGCCCCTTAAAAGCATATTTATTCTAACTCAAAATCCAGATTAAAGATACCAAAAGATACCTGAAATATTGCATATCTTTAAATGCCTTAGCAACTGTTTTACCACTTAAAGCCTCATGACTGGAAACAAAGGACCACCTTTGCTAGAATAATGCACCCTGAGTGTACAGTACTTGCTGCATTTGAGAGGGAAGGTTACTCTTTTCCAAGTACTGGTAAAGTTTCCAGTTTTCCCAACAGTAACACTTGGACTTTTCAAGGAAATTTTATTCCAAACACATTTTGTCTTTTATATTATGATCAGTTACACTTTTTATTGCAAAGGGATTTACTTATATTACAGTTAGACCCAGGATGCAACAAAAGGAGCAATACAAATTGCCTGAAGCATTTGGATACTTAAGTTGTACTGCTTGTGCTTTATCAAATAAGGTAGCAGAGTTCCATCACATCACTGTTGTTGTGTTGCCTAACATTTTGTTACATTTTGAATTTTGCCCAAATTCAAAATACTATCTTTATGCTAAAGCACCAGGCAAATTTCTTAAAACTTTGCCCATTAAGCAGAGGCAGAAATAGAACAGTCCTTTATTTTTTATTATTTATTCACACAGGAAGAGGAGCTTACTGTGCAAGACACAGATTTTTAGGGAGAAAAGGATATTTCTGCTTCTTCAAAATATGACTTGATTTTGAAGCAAGTTGACAGCTGTATCTGTAGTATCTACTGCTATTCATTTATATTCAGATTTTGTTATTCGCTAGCAAGTTTGTTCGTGTAAATTTGCACAGGCCATTAAAAAGTTTCAAATACATTTTGTTGCAACACAAATTTGTACAAATACACATATTGGACTTACAGAAAAATTAATTGAGTTACAGGCTATAATTCCTTATTGTGTAATGATGACAGTTAAATTTTAGCTACATATCTGGCTTCTCCTTTAGGGAAAAAATACATTTCTTTGGAAAAGAAGCCCTGTTGTGGAGATGGAGTCCTAACAGTTTCTGTTCCTGCACTCATGTCAACTACAGCAACTCTGTAGTGCTTTCAGAAGGTCCACCTGAAATTTGAACTGTTGCAGTTTGCCCCTTTCAGTGTTGTGAATACAAGACATCAGATAGCATTTATAAGAAGGCTACTGTTATATCTTGTTAGTAAAACCAAGAAAAATCCATGTGCCAATGTTGCCAAGAAGTGTCTCCTAATCCAGCCATGCAGTGTCTGCTGTCAAAGATAAGGTCACTCTTTTCTCCTTCTCCCATATTCTCATTAAAAGCATCTCCTTCTTTCCTGGGCTTCAGTGTCATCAATATCAGCCTAAAACCAAGTTAATTATAGGAGAGAATACACCAAAAAACTAGTTTATCAGAGACAAAAAAAAAAAAAAATCAGTAAAATGGTTCTTCTACTCCCTATCAGAAAACTCAAAATAATCAGTATTCTTCTCAGAACAGTATTCAGCACCCCAAAAACATCATTTACAATCAGGCAATCCCTCATGATACTGCACATCTCTTAGGAGGAGCAATACATGTTCCAAATGGTTTACAGTCCAGGAGAAGAGACTACTTATAGGAGGACTAACATAGAAAATTAGGCAGTCCAACTATAATCCCATGGCATGGACCACAAAAACAAGTAGATGATCACAACAATCTGTCTTGTTGGGAAGTTTATTTATGAAAATTTCCCATAGAAGAAGGTCTGAGTTCTTAAGTATTAGTTGCATGTGGTATTTTCTAATAGTAAAAATGTTGCAAGATATAGGAATCCAAGATTATTTTTTTCCCAAAATGAGCAAAAGCCTTTTTTCAGTGAAGTTATCACGAAATACTTGCCAAAACTCTGCACATGTGGTGCTTCCATGTAACAAATGAGTAATTTGTTAAAATATTCAGGATGAGCTTCCCATTGCAACTGAAGAGAAGATTTCATTAGTCCTGAAAGCTGTATATCCATTGATCTAGCTCCACACTTCACATCCCTGCAGGGCACTCTTTAAGGAATTCCTTTGCCAGTAAGATACTCGTTCTCTGATGATTTGCCACATGAAGCTCTCTTGGAGGTTCAGACCTCACTGGCAATCCGGAGGACATTACCAGACTCCCATTTCATTGCAGGGATTGCTAGAGGAAGAAAAATCATGGAATTGGCATAAGTGACATCATCTAATCTGATGTCATAAAAAGTGTCAGCATGCATAAACAATCTGGCTGAGGAGAGAAGAGGGGGTTTTGAACAATGTTTCAGCAGTCAGAGAATTTGGATTCTGGTTCTAGGATGTACAGCTGTTATGATATTGACAGTCATGCATCCTCCTGAAACAGAGAGGACAATTCTGTGCAGCTGAACTGTTTCATCAAAAGGCAATTGGATGAAGCAAGGTCTTGGGGCACTGAAGTCTAAGGCAGAACACATTTACTTCAAGAGGTTCAAACTTTTTATGCCACATATTTTCCAGTTTTTGTCATGTCCTCTTTTTTTTTTTTTTTTCCCAGTGATTTCATCAAAATCTTCTGATCATCCCACTTTCAAGAAAAACCATGAAGCTTGGAAGTTTTTTGAAGGTAAAGACACATCTAACTGCTACTGTTTTTATACATGCTGTTAGTTTAGTCCAATGGATGGGACAACTAAAGTGCCCCAAATCAGGACCAATGTTGCTAGTTCTGTGAAAACCCAGCCTTCCCTGAGAAATCATCCCAAAAAGTACAAGGGGTACTGGGAAAAAAAGAATGGAAGAGTCCAGCTTCAGTTTCTCGTTTGTCTGTTATGGCAAATTGAAAAATAACCACTGGAAATAAATCACAACACCTCAACAAAAGCCGTGAAGGGAGACTTAGGCTGTAGTTTGAAAAAGAAAAAATAATCATATAAAAATTTCAAGCCAGTGCTGCCAGCAGAAAAAGCAATTGCAGACTTTCTTCCTTCTTCCTCAGTCACTCAGCACTCTCCCCACTTGTTTCATCATTTGTGTGTTTGTTTGTTTCCTTTTGTTACACACACAAAAAATAGGTACAGTTGTTTGAGCTGGGAAATAACCCAACTGAAGTCCTTTTGGGTTTTGAGTTGTTGCTCAAAAAATCCCCAAACCCTAAACCAGTTCTTTGTTTTCTCCTGAAAGTCTCAACTCATAAGTGCAGTTAACATGTATTTGCATTTATGCAGACTTCAATCAAATTTTAAACTGAGCAGGATACTATAGGTAAGTTTCAGGAGGATTAAACTGTTTCTGAACTGTTACACTAAATCCTTTGGCCAGAGTCTGTTTAGATCTTGTAGATGTAACTTTTTTCTGCCCTATCATCATGAAGCATCAGCTGCAACACTGACCATCATCTATGCTTGGGTTTCAGATCTGTACGTGTACGCAGTGTTTGTGTGTTCCATAGGAATCATCAGTGTCCTCCTTTTTACACTTGTCATTCTCTGTCAGTCACTTCTGAACAAGAAGAGATCCACAGGTGAGCAAATTTCCATTCCTCATGACTACAAAGCCCTTGACAAGAAGTGGGGCAGGGGGAGGGGAAAAGAAAATGCAGAGAAAGCAGGAAAAATAAATATTTCCTTGCCTTGATTGTTATTTCAGATAAAATTGGTAGAAAGAAAAAAAATTCTGCCAGCCAAATTAGAACAAAGACATTTTATTTCCTTTAAATAGGAAGGAAATAAAACTTTAAATTTGCTCTGGACTTTTCAAAAATCTTTTGCCTTTGCACAAACATAAGTTGAAGGTAGTTGGAACTTCTTTCAAGGGAGACCAAGTGCTGAATTATTAAGTTCAAATCTGACCAGAAGCTAAAATTTTGCATGATTCATATTTCTCCAAACATGTAGAAGGGTTTCAAAGCAATCTTAACTCTGGTATTTTATTCTCCTTTCTTGAATAGCTGTCAATATTCCTGGGAATTTGAGGGGTTTTATTAGCACTCTCTCACTTGCAGTATTTTCTGAAACAAAAGCATAATTTCAATGTTCACATCTGTCTTTTCAGAATAATATTTCAAGATCAAGGGTTACTATTTCATTCTTTGCCTCAGAGGTTGCATCAAAGCCGTGTTGTTGTAAACAGAAGTGCTATTTCAGATCTGTGGGGTAACAGTGGAGGCTCTACTTTCATTTCAGTTTAAAAGTGGTTTATTTGGAGACCTCACACAAGCTGCAAGGATGAGACAGCAGCACACTTAGCAGCCTCCATGTCGGAGGAGAGTGTAGGGACCACCTTTGAACAGAAGCTTTCCAAAGGAGTTTGGTTAGTGCCTTGCTTTGTTAATGACAGGAGAGAATCATGACTTTGCTGCCTCTGCATCCTACACAAATCCCACGTAGGAATGAGTGACTCAGATACACAAGTGAGAAGACATGTATGCCAGAAATAGATGTACAGAGAAGCCCTTGCCTGACCACAAACACATTTCAGGCTGTGGCTCCATCTTCCTGGTAGTGCACTTAGCAGAGTAGCTGTGATTCTAACTGCACCCAACAACTCTGCTTGCCAAGAGGAAGGAGCAAGATCGATGTTATTCTTCCTACCCTGTTAAGTGATGACAAAGGTTTTGTGCCAAAGGAGTACCCACACTTAAGTATGTTGGTCATGGTGAGTCACCCTGAAGCCACAAGCACTAGTCTGGTGTGTCCCAGTTTTTCTTGAGCAGACATTGGGTTGGAATTTGGTCTTTTTTGTCAATTTACTGCTGTGAGCATACAAGCAGCTTGAAGGAAAGGTCTATTTACACTGAACCAACACCAGCTAAATAGTGAAATAATATATGATATAGAATAAGGATATACAAAAGAGAAAAAGTAGGTTCTTCTGAGCTGCTAAAGCCATTCTTTGCTACCCAAATATCTGAATATTTGCATGCTTGAAAACATGTCAGCACTGTACATGAGCATTCCCTTAGTCCTGAAGGATCAGGCCTACTCTTCTCCAATACATTTAATAAAGGCCTGACAGGTAGATCAAAGCACTGCCTTGACTGGCTTAAACATTGTCCCTGTGTTAATCCCAGCTCCTGGTGCTCTCAGCACCCATTTCCTTAGGACCAAAATGCACCTCCTAGGAGCTGTAAGGCTCTTTTATAATGGGAGAATTTAGCTAAGTCCAAATATTAAATACCTTCCCATAGAGAGGGGCATAGTCATGTGAGTGCCCCGTTGTCTGGTTTTCATGGTCCTTTAAAGAACAGAGAATGAGAAGGGAGGGGCATGTCTGTGTTGCATTCAACTTCACATCATGACCCAGGGATACTCTCTCATCCTTCTGAGATATAAATTGGCAGTAGGTTGACCAGAAGAACCAGAGCCTGTCCTTTAAGAGAGGCGTAGAAGCCACAAAGCCACAAAAGAGCATCTTAATAACCCTGGCTCCTAAAAGGCTGCAGTGGGGGCAGCTGCCCTTACTCGGGACTACTGACTCAAAGGAGTACGAAGTAGGAGGATTTACACAGCTCACACACACAGCTGTCAGAGACAGGATGGTGGCTGGACTGGACCTCTGATGTGATCCCAGAACGATCCCTTTATGCCTATGGCCACAATCTGACTTACACTGGGAACAGCCTGGGCTCCTGAGGGTGAATGGTTTATTTCAGGCTTCTGGAAATAAATACATGCACCACAAGGGAAATAAAAGTCTTCAAAGTAAAATTACTGGCCTGCTGTGCTTTTCCTTAGCAAGCTGTCTTTTGGCTGGGCTGACCACTGGAATGTGTGTTGTCCAGCATTTCCACAGAAGATCTTTGGTGTTGTTTAATACATTCCCCTCTCCCAAGCGCAGCTATGTCTTTGAGTCATACTGCATTTTAAAGCCCAATACAATGTATGGTGACTATCATTAGCTCACCCAATGTAACAACCTGGAAACTCCACCATCTCAGCAGCACAGGTCTGTCTGCAGAGCCCATCTGAAACTCATAAGCTATCATAAGCCACATTTTCTGTCTTTTTTTCTTTTCTTTAACAGTGAAGCATTACCTGGTGAAATGCCCCCAGAACAGGTAGGAGATTACACATCTCTTTACTCTAAACCAAGGTACCAGTTCTGGATTTGTTTTGCTATGCATGCTGAAGAACAGGAATAATGTTTTCAAAATGCTTATGGGAACATAAAGAGCTGCAGATCCCTGACTCATGAATGTGCCTGCTGTGCATGAAAAGGGAGAGCTTTCTGGGCTAGCTGTAGGTCCTGCAGGTATTCCAGTGACCAGCCTCTCCTTGATGCTCTGAATTTCTTTCTGAAGAAGCCGACTTTCATTCTGTGTGGGTTTCCAGAGTTCCCCAGGACCTCATGGGATGGTAATGGCTTAAACTGTCCTTGCACATAGAACAAATCACAGTGTTTCCCAGGGATTCCCACACCCAGGAATGGAGTGAGGTTTAAAAGCAGATTTTCAAGGCTCACAGTCTGTTCACAGCTGAAGACTCCAAATGATGGGAAAAATTCTTCTGCTGCTGCAGTGTTAATCACTGTCCCTTTAAATACCACCGGCTGCCAAAAGTTTTTGATGGTGTGGCTGTAAAACTGATTTCTATTGTATGATTTTCGTTGTATGTATATTGGACTGGGACTGCAGTAAAAATATATGACAAGTATTTTACAAACAAAAAAGATGAAAGAGGGATGCCTCATAACAACACAGAAGCACAGCTGTTTCCCAGTTTTCAGTGACAGAAACCATGTGTTTATAGCCTTGCAGTTTAAATCCAATACCTCTCGATATCACATACTCTTTCTCATAATCTCTTTAGACACTAAGGGATTCAATGTCAAATATAGCACACCTAAGATCCTCCAGCAGTGTGATTTTTAGTGCATTCTTGTGGGATTATCATGGTATTCAATCTAACTGGTACTCAGATGGAAATGAAATCAAAACAAAGCAGCACAGGGTTCAGGAGGGGCCAGTACAACTCAAAACTTTCACATTATTCATGGACAGATCGTTGTTTTGTGACCTTGACCCGCCATTGCACCACCCAAAATTTCAGACGCCTCAGCAGTTTTTCTTTTTTTCCTGTGTGTTTTTGCTTTTCCCCCTTCCTTATTAACTGCTGGGACAAAGTTGGAATTACAAAACACAAACAAAAAAGAATGGGGAGGGGGAAGAAATAAAAGTATATTGGTAGGGAACATAAAAAGAGAAGGAAAATGAGACCAAACTCATGGAGCATGGCAGTTAGATAAAAACCTCATACTACAAACTCTGACTCTCTGGGAATAGGTGATGTAGCAGTGATACTGCAGCAGACGCTGAATTTAGGAGGCTGAATAGCAGGGAGAAAAAAAGCCAATGTCATTTCTTCACCATAAAACAGATTCTCTAGAAGTGAAAGAAATGCATGACTCTGTATGGCTAAAAACACAGTTTCATGTATTTCAGTGTGACAAGTTATGCTCATGAAATCCTCGATCACATGAATGCATGCCCGAAGTGCATTAATTTGGGGTTTAAAATTAAATAGCTGTGAAAGTGTTATCAGCATCATAATTGTTATGCTTCACACTTGGTACCATTTACTTTCCATGCTCTGCTCAAAACACAAACCATCACTTCCCTTGAACTCAGTGCCCTTCACCTGCAAATTCCTTGTCTTGGAACTTAATTCAACACACTTAGACCCAAAACCTACTGTCTAAATATCCATTAGGCCAAACTGATTGACTAATTTGCATTAGATTCTTGCCATTTCAGCCTTGATTAGAGAAGCTCAACTCCAACTCCCTTAGTGATATTTCAAACCCAGAGCAGAATCCAGTTTCAAGATTACATTAATAGTCTGATGTCTAAGAAATGTCTGTATTCCCACTACAGTCATACCTAAGCATGTTAAAATATTTTATGTCAGAATGATGTTTTTACTTTTAATTGGAATCTAAAGCACAATGGGATAAGTGATTTTCCCCAGGTCTCACAAAATGGCCGTGGTAGAAAAGAAAATTAAATCCAGATTTCCTGAGTATAACAAAACAAATATTTAGGTTTTGGTTTGCTACTTGACCAATAACAAATTAAGAAAAAAAGAACTGAGTTGACCAAAACCCATTTTTTTTACCACATTTTAAAAATAACTACCTAAATAAAAGAGTACAGTTATTTTTAGTTTCCCAAACCACCTAATTCCATTTCCTGGTGTTTTCTTTTCTTTAAATACCCCTTTTCATATTATTTTCCTTGTTACTGGATCATTTTGCTAGTTTTCAGATCCAGAAACCCCCAGGAGGTGAAGCTTTGAAAACGGGAACATTTTTTTCTGTCTTTTTTATTTGTGTTGGCCTGAACTCTCTAGTCCTTCAGTGACTGTTCTTCTGGAGATAAGTAATTGGAGGTAAATAAAGTGTTTGCCTCAGAAAACTGTCAATCTCTACATCTTGGTTCCACAGTGCCAATCTCACATTACAGGAACAAATTCTGCCACATAGACCAAGAAACAAGAACCCAGCTATCCCTGGCACCTTTACACACAGCTCTCCTGTCTGGAAAATATTCAAGTAACTCCCAGTTCACTCAAGTGAGTTTTTTGTCACCCGTCTGCAGACCTATGACAAGAGAAAATAGCTGACTTAGATGACAACAGGAAAAGTTCCACATTCTAGACTCTAGTAAGGATAGCAAAGCCAAAATTGTAGCAGTTTCCCAGGTCCTTGTAATAGCCATGACCTCTAGGGAGGTCTCCAGGGAAAGGAGGTTTTCCAGGGAAACTGCTGCCTTGGTTCCATGATGATTACACACCTTCCACAGGTTACTTCTCCAAACCCCTATATTTTTCTTGCTCTCAAAAACTCATTAGATCCTTCAAGAAATGCACAACGTGACACTGTTGAAACAGAAGCCAGGGTGGCTGTAGAAGGAGCTGGAGATAAAAAAACTAACTTTCCTTTAGACATAGAGCAAGACAAGCCCACAAAGAGGCAGTGTTTCGGAGCCAAGGAGACCTCTGAGCCTCCTTGTTTGGTTTGAGGAGCTCAGTTCCAAGACAGCAAGTGTAGTTATTGTATCTCCCAGAATTAGTTAACCCTGTGTGGCCCTGGCATTTGAAAGAAACCTGCAAGTCTCAAATACATTTCTTTGTAGCTTCACTTTTCCTGGCAAAGCAGGAATAATAACTCAGCGCAATGAATTGACACTGAGCCTTTTAATATATTGTGCTTAAAGTTATAGCAGAACAACAGCATCTTTAAGCTACACATCTGCCTTAATGACCTTGGATTATTAAACTCAAAAACGTTAAAGAAAAATCATTCCCATCTCCTTGTTGGTAGTCTTTCTTCTTGGTAGTTTGCTGTTTGTACAAAGAAACCAGGCAGAACAGTTTCATTTTCTGCTGGTTTTAAACTATTTTGTCTTGATTTTAGTATAGAAACAAATGGTTGTTGTGGGATAGGTTCATAGTAGAGCAGCCAGACTTAGAAATGGTTTCAGTCCAACCCTCAGTTTACATAAGATGTGATTTATTTATAAATCATGAACATATAATATTTTTTAAACACTTTTTAGAAAGTTTGGCAGCAAACCTGTGTTTTTTATTGAGTACGTGAAACAGAACTCAAGAAAACCAGCAAACCAGAGTCTTTTTGTAATCCACACAGGTGTAAATTCAGAGTGATTTTACAAATGGTAGTGACATTCATGTGGATTTACAACTGTGTAAAATGGTAATGCCTGTGATTTTGTTGTTTTTGTGTGGGCAATAGCTGAGACAACTGAACTTTCATGAAGTCTTTGGCCCAGTCTGAATATTTTATTCTGTTAATATAAAGAGAATGTTTCATTATACAAAAGAATCTCGAGAGGAACAGGAGGTTGGGACAAATGGCTTAAAGTTCAGTGGAATAAGTGTTGCCATTGTTATGACTATGGAGACCCAGTTGTGTTCCATGGCGTGGTGGAACCCACATGAGAGAAAGGTCCCCACAACCATACTGCCCTAACCTTTCCCAGGGTGAGCCCAGGGGCAGATGCAGCTGAGCAAGGACTGCTTACCAAGTCACCTCCATCACTGTAGTCATCATAACTAAATGGTTTACACTCTCCTCCCACCCCAGCTGTATGTTAAGATTCCTTTCATTGCCACTTAAGTCAGCAGTACAATTTTATTCCCCTTTACCTGCAAGCAGGGAGCCCCTGCAGGATCAGTTACCACTCAGCTGAGCCACAGTGACAGTCGCTGCAACCTGACTGCATATCTGAGACCTGAATATTCAAAGCAGGATTTTTGATCTCAGCCTCTGGGAGGTGATAAGGGTAAAAAAGTCCAGCCTTAAAGGATGTTAAACTCTAATAGTGCAAACACAAAAGCTCTCTTGGATAAGAGTCTCTTTACAGTATAACTTGTATTCTTCCCTCACAGCACCTTTTCAGCACAGATGTACTGGAGAATGTCTGAGTTAGAGAGTGGAACACAGCTTCTTGTTTTATATTCCCTGAGCACACTGGCCCCCTTGAAGAAACCAGATTTTGCAGATGTGGGTTTGTGAGCTGCCTGAAGACATGCTGCATGCCCTTCTAGTCCCTCAGCCAATCTTAGCCCAGAATCTGCAATGAAAATTTTGCTTTTCCATACACATCCCATGGGAGGTTATGCAACTATTGTAATCTGTCTGAGCCTCTGACCCTCGAGGACAAGCAGGCAGAAGTTCACCCTGGTGCAGCAGTGGGGTCATACATGCTTTTAAGGAATAGGTACCATGAAATGGGTCTTGTTTAAACCTGACAGTTTGCATTTTCTATGCCAGGATGAGTGAGACTCTTTGCGTTTCTCAGCCATACTATATGGCTTAAAAATTGCGAAACCCAGAGCATTTCCTACCCCTGTAAGAGGTTTCTCATTATATACCCAGATCACAGTCCAGGTCGTTGGGCACAGACTCCCACAAGTGGAAGGTGACATGTTTGCATGAACTCACAGGAATAAACTTCCTTTCCCTCCACTGCCTTCATTTTCCCCTCACTTTTGGGCCTGTGCTTTGCAGTTCTGGGGAGACAGTTACCAGTGTGACCAGCATGTCTCCTCTACAGCCTAAGAAGGTAAAGAAAAAGAAAGAAAAAGAGAAACTGGAGCAGCCACCAGCCATCCCAGCAAAAGGTATGAGCACAGAGGTATTTAAAATCCTGAGCACAGCCATGGAGGGACAGCAGAGCATGGGACATCAGGAATCGTGCACTTTGCCACTGTCTCTGCCTGTGAGGTGGCCTGTTCTTGCTCCCACCTGTGGGGGAAGAAGTTCCCAGTAGCTGCTGCTGGGACAGGCTGTCACCTCCCTGCAGCTTTAGCCATTCTGCGATGCTGCTCAATGAGTCCAAGCCGGAGGTCTCAGCTCCCACTAACTAGAGGAGAGAGAGGAACCTCTGCAGCAATATGCACCATGCTCAAAGAGAAGATTAAAGTTGGGCAAGTTGAAATTCCTTGTTGGGGGTATTCCGAGGGAAGCTAGCACATTGCACTCTTTAAAACTGCCGGTGCACTTGGGAAGTGAAGCAAACGGAGCAGATAAAGAAAGACCAACCTCTAGGGGACTTCATTTTCCAAGAGGATTTGCAACTCCGGGGTCAGTCTCACAAATTCTTGGGTGTACTTTCTGAGCCAGTGCTGAGCCAGTGGGAGAGAGGAGGGAAAGGACCTGAACATTTCCTGTTAGGTCACAGATGGTCAGTTCTCAGGGGGTATACTTGCTCTAGCGTTCCCATACAAACAACATGTCTTGTATATCAGATTCTTTAATCTTACAAATGTTTCTAATTCAAATCATTCATTATGCCTCCTTGTAAAATATGAAATGTGGTTAAACTCAGTAGATGCATTTGCTTCTAATTTGATAATAATGTGTCATTTATAAATTGCTAATGCATATATAAAAATGACAGTGAATGATAGTAATACAAAATGAACCCTTAATATTTATTTTTGTAGCTCCAATTGCCAATAATTTCCCGAAGCCCAAGCTCTTGAAACCTCAAAGAAAATTGATCCTGGTGAGTAATTTTCTATGACATAACTTTCTGCATATTCTTCTCTTTCAATACAAGTGCTGTAATGTTGCCAGAACTCTAGGTTCAGATATTATAAATTACCTTAAAAAAATCATACAAGTCCTTTTTTTTAAGTAATAATTTTTCAAGTGAGAAATTATCTTGGTTCTTTTCATTTTGAGGATTATTTTACATCAGATTATGTTTTCAAGCTTTCTAACAGTGGTCATGTCTACAAACTTGGCCTGTCCTTAAAGGAAATCTGCTGTTTATTCTCACGTGCTTCTGGCAGCTGGTCTTTTGGGAAAAAATACCAGTTACTGACAGAATCATAACTGCACTGTTCGCATTTCTTTTGAGACTTTTCAAGTGAGAAGTGGGGAGCCTTATACTGTACTTCACTCATGTAAGTCAGAAATGCCTTGAATTGCAGGAATAAGATGGATATATACATATATATATATATATATATATATATATATAGTTCATACTAAGGAAAAAAACCCCTTCATATAATAGCTTCTCTTGGTTATGAGTTTCTGTTTGAAAAATACCCTTGCAGATACATGCCAGACAAATCAGATGGATGGTGAGATATTTCTTTGCTTTTGTAACAAAGCAGTGCCTGGACAAGACATCCAGTGGTGATAGAGTGACACAGTTTTATACCAACTCACTTCACCTATAGCTGCAGTGGTCTGCTATGCTCCTGCTATGCTCTATGTAGTCAATAGAAAGAGAGAGGAGTTAGAGTCAGAGCCTGATGTTCCTGGTAATTCAGACTACTGCTCTGAGTTGCCTTTTGGGAATCCTTTTTTCCTTCTCTGGCAATAGAGAGATCCCAGAGAGACCAACTCTCTTCACATTAGGTGAAGGTGGGTGCCTAAAATTATGTCACTGGAATAACTCAAATGCCATGTGATGGTTTCACTTTTAGGTGAGGCATAGAACTGGGAACCTTCACACCAATTGTCAGTAAACTGCTTATTACAACCCTGGATACCTGGGCATAATGCTGGTATTTGAGAAGAGTTCAGCTAATATCTTAGGCAATTTTACTGCTTGAATATGAAGCTTGTACCTCTGCTGGTCCTGCTTGGATTGCCCCTTAGCCAGACTCTGCTCATAGAAGTCAGGCTTTGGTAGAGGAAGAGGCAGAGTTTTAAAACTCCATGAAAAAGGCCTTATGTTGACACAGGTAATTGTGGCAGGCCAAAGCTGTGCTAAGAGGACAGAGACACAGATGAGAGCATTTGGAACCAGGGGTGGCTGCCACCCTTTGCCATTGTGTAAATTCCAGTGCCCGGGCACATCAGTAGTCTGGCAGTCTTCAGCCCTCTTAGGAAAAGCTTTCACCAGTTAAAGCACTCAGACTCTTCCTATAGCTCAGTAAAGCACATCAACACATGCTGAACTTGAAGGAAATCTGTTTCCAGATACTTTTTCCTTCTGGAATAATTCCAAGGATTGCCCTCAAATAGCTGTTGGCTCTTCCCTTCTTGCTATGCAACGCCAGTCAAGGTCCAAACACTTTGGAGGTGAGCAGGAGTAAAGCCTTTTCAAGCAAAGAAATCGGCTTTGTCTCTCCTAGCACAGCTGAGGATCCACACACTGCATGCAGACAGCAAACTCTGTTTTAATGCCTCACTGTTGGAATTCAGTCTGGCAGCTGTTCCCATATGTTGCTCTCTTCCCTTTCATATTTCACCTCAGAGTGCACCTGGAGAGATGTAGCAGCTCACAGAAAGTACACAGTCTGTGGACATGAGTTAGTTTTAAGTTAAAGTGATCCAACAAATATGGACCCACCTAGCAATAAAGTACATTAAGGGACAAAGTAAACTAAACCAAAGTCAGTCTGAAAGGCACATTCAAAAGCTGACCAGGGCACTTCCCAGAGCAGTTTCCCAATTCTGTTCCTTTTGCCTCCTTTTACAACACAGTTGTCTGTGTTTTTGTATTCTCAGGAAAAAATAATCCATACTTTCTGCTTTTAGACTACTTTTTTTTTTGTTTTTTGTGAGGAAAATTAAACTAATTGAAGTTAAAGAAAAATTGCAGAATATACAGAGAAAAAGGCATATCAAATACATCTAAGTGAATTTTTTTTTTTATTTTTACCAAATTTGTCGCCCCATTTTAATTCTCAAAAAATTCTCAGATTTTAAATTTTCCATCTGCTTTGGGGCTAAAAAAAATTATCATCATCCTGCTAAATCTCTGCAGGATAAAATAACCTTTTCTTTCCAACTATAATGATTGCACAGCTGGTGTCTACACTAGATCTTTTTTTCATTGATGGCACACACCACGTAATCACTACCGCAAAGACAGACAAAATTGCCAAGTTTCTGGGCTACTTCTGTAGCTTCCCTGTGCAACCCAAGGAAGGGACTATATTGGGGCACCAGGAGAATATTCTAGAAAACCTAAGCTAACCAGCTAGAGTGTAAAGGAACATTACAAAATAATTCCAGTGTTTTGGGAAATTTTTTTGTAATAGCCTAAATACCAGCAAAATTATTTCCAGAGGACATATGCTTTTGGTTTCTTGAAAGATGTTTATAATAAACTAGAGAATTTCTTTTGTTGTTAACGTGCTAGAGTGGGTTGCAGTATAATTTTACAAGAACACAATAACCTGGATAAAATATAGACATAATCTCAATGAAAATTAAAAAAAAAAAAGAGAGAAAGCCTAATACCAAGTTCAATTGCATAGCTTTGAGTAAAGCCTTTTAAATACTCTGCTTAAGTCATATTGTTTTAGCCAGAATAACAATTCTATGCTCCCCCTGTTGCAAAAATATTCCCCATCAGTGTCATTCTCTATTAGCATCAATGAGAAATGTGTACAGATCAAAGGAAATAGAGATGCTGAAATGCAAAAAGGGATGTTTTTTATAGCATGAAAGAAGCACAGAGAGTCATTACGAAGAAGAAAATTCTGGGGCCCCACAAACTCTTCTCTCTAAGGGCTGTTCTGCTCTAGCCTTAAGTACTTAGCCCTTTGAGTTGGTAAAAATAAATCTTTCACTTCCTCAACCAAATTTTCTGGTAGGCCTTTCATTGCCTCCTAGAGATTAGCTGTCATAGCCCAAGAGTGTCAGTTACAGAACATCATCTAAATGAAAAGGCTTTAGTGTCTTTTCATGAAGGTTTAAACCATCAATCTTAGGAGCTCCTGCATGATTCACTACAACCAATGGAAAGGATGTGACTTCAGGTTGGATCAACCTTCAAATCTTTACTTAAGCAAAATTTTTGTTGACTTCTTCATTTTCACTAAATTTTAAGGGGAGGAATACCTTCCCAGATAAGACTGCTATAGGGAATCTTCTGATTCTGCCACTGACGTGCACTCTGCTACATCATGTAAATATCACACTTTGAAATCAGGTAAATATCTCCTGTATTACAAATTATCCACTTGGGCTTAGTCCTCTGTCTAGTTCTTAGGACACTCAGACATGGCCATGTAAATCTCACAGAGTTGGCTGTTCCTACACCCATTAACCTCTTGAATTAATAGGATTAACCTCTCTATTGAATAGGATGTATCTGGCTTCTCTTGTTCCCCACCACAGAGTACCTGCTGTTCCTGTGTGACTCCTGGAGCAGTGTCCTCTCAGTGACCATAGTGCTGAGCTATTTAAGAGAAGCACCCTTCTGCCTTCAGCTCATAGAGCATAGACAGCATTGTTTATTTCAGCATGGACTGGATCACCAGTGGCTCAGCGCTACGTGATTACTGAGAGCTGCTTTTGATGATAATGGTGATGCAAAAGCTACTTGAGAAACAGAAAGGGATTATGGTTATCTAAGGTGGAGGGAGATTTCTAGCAGTCAGTATTTTGTGCAATTAGTAGGATTCCTTAGTAGTCTTAACTGTAGGTACCATTGGCCCTTTCCTTGAGAAAGAAAAAGGAAGTGAAACACATCTGCTCAGTAATTTGTAAATTCTGAAGCTGGGAGAAATCAGGTGTTCCCTTCCACTGGATGACTTTAAATTAAAAACTGTGCCACCCTCTGTTAGAAGAGCTGCTTCCTCTACAACAGGTAACAATGAGTGATGATTTAAGCTCCCAATTTCTTAAGGCATTATTTATCTCCACAGACTTTCAATAAGACCATACATACGATATACAAAGGAGTGGTGAACAGTTCTTCCCCTGACTCCTTGTCATTCTTTAATATTTCCATTCAGTCCTCATAATTCCGCTCTCTATAAGATGAATAATGTTTTGGATTTTTTTTCAGTTTTTCCATAGGATGTGAGATGTCCATAGGGCATGAATATCATGAGCACTTTCAGGCTGATACTTGGAACTCAACATACTCAAAGCTACTGGATTGAGTTGCTATCCTTACTCCCAAAAAGGAACAATTTGTATAAATATGTAAAATTTCTTGTTGGATCTGTGTTGAGACTTGTGTATTTACAAAATCCCACAGTAGATGATTTTTGTGTGATGACACTTTTGGAGTAATAAAAGTGTCATTGGTGGAGTGAAAACATTTAATTACTTCATTGGCCTGATTTCCAGCAATGTTGGCTTAGAATGTAGGAATAACTGCAACTGTAAAAGCAATAGAGCATTACAAAGGTTAGGATGCTCTTCCCCCAAAACCCATTCAATGGGATTTATCAAATCATCTTCATCCCTGACTCTGTAATCAAAACTTCTGTGGGATTCAATAACAAAATTTAGATGCAATGGTGAAAGAGTCTTCACAAATTGTAGATATATACTCAGGGAGTATAGGAAACATTTTATGCTATAGGGTGTAAAAAATAGGCATCTTATTGGGAAAAAAACCCTGCCTTTTTTAACTAATAATGCCACTAAATGACATAGTTACTACTCTCCACATTTTCCAATGTCATATTTCTCAGCTTTGTCACTGAATGTCTCTCCTGATATTTCAGCACTCTTACTGGCCAGTAGATGGATTTCTAGAGGATAAGTAATTTTGCAGATCTAGCTTCAAAACTTCTGCAG